GAAAAGTTCTGCCAAGAGATTGACTAAATGCATCGAAAACTCCAGCTCATGAGCCCGGCACTGGTGAATAGGAGGGGGCCAATTCTACTCTACGACAACGTTCGGCCCCACGTCGCACAACTTACCCTGAAAAAATTGATGGAGCTAGGCTATGAAGCTCTCCCGCATCCACCATATTCCTCAGACCTTGCTCTCATAGACTAAAATTTCTTTAAACATCTCGACGCTTTCTCAAGGAGAAATGCTTCAAAACCTAACATGATGCTGCCGCGGCATTCGACGATTTCATCGCCTCTAGATTTCCGGACTTCTATGCGAATGGGATACTCGAACTTGTTTTTCGTTAACAAAAGTGTGTCGATAGTAATGGTTGTTATTTCGATTGATGAAGTTTCGTTCAAGCCGAGATATATGCATTTGAAGTTTGAGGCGCAAAACCGCAAGAACTTTCTTCACGACCTAATGTATGGATTGCATCTAAAAATATAACAGACTCTTCGGCGCCTGTCGTGTGCGCGGCTCTTTCTGACATGTTCTGACATGGTCCCAAAATGCTAAAAAAGTTGTTTGCTTTTGTTGTAAAGAGAACATGTTTTTGGTCTACTCTCTTTCTTCAACTGCTGGAATCTTATGAAAAATTTCACTTCATACAAGGGTTCATAAATACCTTTTCACGGCGTCGGGGTGAAACGAACTGAAACAGCTTTGCTCTACCGAGACGACACATGACTGCTGAGGGTGTCTATAAGAGTGAGGAGCTAGCAAGCTCTTAAGCGGGTCAACCTCACAAAAACATCCAAACATTAATGAATAACACTTAGACGAAATCGCGACGAATCACGCAAGCTGTGGGCAGTAGTCAACAGACATTCTAATTGGCGAAGCTTTGCAGAGAAGCGATAAAGAAATACTTGAAAGAGAGAAGAGGAGCAGCAGCATAGAGAAAGCTGCCGATGCTGGGAATAGCGTTCGCAAGGCCCGTCAGAGCTTTACCAATAGAGGGCCGAAATGACTTCCTTTCATCGTTTTGAAAACAGTTACTGCACTTTAAAGGGCAATAGAGAACATCATCTACGACTCCTATTCGGATCTATCCGACTACCACGTTACCTCCCAAACTATCATCTTATGCAGCACGTATATATCGCTCCTTTTGTTATCCCTTCCGGAATTCGACATGCTATCACGCGATGAAGAATTGTACGACGCCTGGTCATGGTATGATCAAAACAGAACATCTGGAGAGTCGCCCATCATATGTCGCTAGAATTCTGGCGTGGCTCTTCATGCGGTGCAAAGTGACAAGTGATGACCTGACGGAGTGCAAAGTGTCCACGAAAAAATTCGCAAGGTTGTGTTGCTGTCTAAAAAGGGAGACACCGATGACATTGGCAACTATTCAATCTGCCTGCTGTCTGTAATCTGCAAATTATTGTACGCGTCATCCTTTACAGGGTCGGCAGAGTACTAAGATAAGCTATGCGAGCGTGCTGGATCCGGAGAGGCTTCAGTGCAATCGATCGTATCCATACCGTTACAAGAATACACTAGAAGTATCACGACAAACAAAATGTCTCCATTCCGGAGTTCATCGATTTGACGGAGGCTTGTAAATGTAGGTCGACGGCCGCTACTTAACACCTCCACCTCCGCTTTGCAGACGACATCTTGCCTATAACACTGGACATTGAGAAGGCGAAACAAATGGTGACCCAATCCGACAATGCTTGTGGAATTATCAGCTTACGGTTGAACCGAACGATCACTATGTTCATGAGGTATGGATTGGTGCCTGACGCTCCTTTCATGTCAAGCAGAACGAACAACCCTTTGACTATGTATATCTAGACCGAGAAGTCAATATGATGAACGACCTAGCACTGGAGCTGAGTAAAAGGAAACGCGCCGCACGCTGAGGAGCATTCAAGAATATCGAGAAGTAGTGAAGAAGCGAAGAACATCCGGCTCTACGAAAGGAAGATGAACATGCTGTCGGCGTCGCTCGAGGCGCTTCGAAAAAGGCGATGCTCGGAGCTTCTCTATACACACAAATGCAGAAGGGAATCGGATATCTGAGCTTTGTCAGAAGATCGGCGATGCTGTTGCATACGCTAAGAAGTCGAAGATCAGGTGGGCCGCGCACTTATGCGATATCGTCCGATGACTGCTGGACCAGGGTGGTTACTGACGGATTATCCGCCACGTCAAAAGAAAGACAGGATGGCCGCCGTTATAGTCGGACTTCTTCAGCTTTGCGAGAGGAATACTGTGCCTCGTGTCCCTCAAGGACATTCAACCGCACTGTTCAAGTCCGCTACAAGGACGAAGGGAGTCGTTACTGGCGCTCACTCGATTAAATCGTTGGCCAGAAGGACGGCAAGTGATACAGGTAATTCATTGGTTGTTCTTTTTTACTTCGCAAGAAATCACGTAACATGGAATTTTTGTGGCCTCAATCCAAACATTTGTTAATCTGAAGCTTGAGACAGCCAATTATTTGCAACAATGGAAGGATGAATTAGCTTTTCAAAAAACCACAAAAGGTTTTTCAGTAAGTTCAGTGCACATTCTCTAAATGTGCGATAATTCAGGCGTACAAAAAATACGCGAAGAAACATGGGGAAGAGATACGAGTCAAAGGTTTAGAAGAATACAACAACGAGCAGATGTTCTTCATAGGATATGCATTGGTATAGACTGAAAGTTTACCAAGTCTATATTATCTTTCATTACAGAAACTTCTAATTTCACAGATATGGTGTGGTCATGCGACTAAAGATGCACTTGTAAAAAAAATCCTAACTGATCAACACTCGCCAAATCCATATCGGTATGTTTAGAACCTCTCATTTACAGTGGAATATAGTTACAGTCAGAGTACAGTACTCAATAAGGGCGCTATCGTAAGGGACTAATCGGAGCTAATTGTCTCTTTGGCTCGTTCATTCCAGAACACTGTTTCTGTTAGGGTGAATCTTGAAAAAATTTTGCGTCTCAAATTTGGGAGCATTGCTCGCGAATTCACCGGAGAAGTACTGTAAGTTTGATAGCTGGGAAAGGGTCGTTGTTAATAGACCAGTACTATAGCTGATCGGGGTTTGATTTAATCGTTCAAAGCAAGTAATCGCTGGCCGAGCGATGTGCTATCGGCAGGACTACCCTAGTTTTCTGCTTCACCATTACGAAACTGATTGCTTCGAAATTCAGGTCTGGAAGGAGATGTGGTGGCTGATTGGTAGCAGCGTCACCCTCTTGTCACCCATCATAAACAACGCGATCGTTTCCTCTAAAAGGGATTTGCTTCGATGAAGTTTGCCGAAGTGAACGCTCACAACAACCCCCAAATACCGACTGATCCCCCGTCAGAGCACTCCTTCTCATAGTCCCAGGGCATGAACAACACGATTTCTTCTCCACAGTTCGTCTTCCACGGCGTTCTACGCAAATCGTTTTCAGAGCACTGCTCTTTGCAAAGATCGCACATCTTTGACTAAGCAGGAGAGCGGGGCACAGCCAGTGTGTGTCACAAGCTCCTCGATTGTAAGCGAACGACATCAACCGACTTCATTATTGCTCAGGATAAAAAGTAGATGTCATATGAAAATCCACGCGGGAAATGGTAGTGCCTACCAACGGACCTAAAAGCACAGCCTGCTTCGAAGCGGGGCGATCACGCCACAAAAGCATGATTCCTCCATCGCTGAGCGGAGTGTTTTACTATGAGGTCCTACCAGATTGTGCTGCGGTAAAGGCAAGAGTATCGTACATATTACCGAGCATGAGAAATGGTCTTTCGAGCCCACAATTCACGCCGGTTACGAAAAAATTCGATTGTGATGTATAATGCTGGACCGCCCAGCGCGAGGACGTCGACGGAGCTGGAAAGACTTGGTACAACCTGGCTACTCCGTTTCCCCCATCTTATCTTAATCTCAACCCATATGACTGCCATTCTTTCAGAAGTCCATAGACCTGCTTCGAATTTTTTTCCATGAATTTGAATTTGCTTTGGTTTCGAGATTCATAGCACACATGCTATGACTTGACGCTTTCATTGACTGTTATGATACTGATACCAGCCGGATTGCCCGGCTAACGCTGGGCTCTTCACCTTCTTGTGTTGAAGTTGGCCCGTCGTCTGCACTATTCCTAGTTCAAAAGGTCTCGTCCAAGAAAACAAGAGCTACTGATTTCCATCGAAAGACACCTTTTGCTCTTAATACCCGCCGTTAGCGAATTTTTGCTCAAGTTCTGTGTGCTCCAGTAACATGGTTCAACCCCTCCTATTTCTAGCCGACTGCGTGTTTACACGCAATCATTTAGGTATACACACATGGTCCGCTTACTTACGCTTCTCCCCTTCCCCCCCCCCCCCCCCCCCCCCCCCCCTACGCCTCCGTGGGCTGAATAGAGTTTAGTCACTTTTCACTATTTACCATGTCTCAAGTTTGCCGCCTGCACTCGTTCTAAATTTGAACATGCTCAAATTATCAGTTTTTGCGAAGGTCCCGCCTCCTGTGAGTGGAGTCAAGTCAAGCCACCTTCCATCAGCGTTCTTATACTGCTGCCTTTGTTCCTAGCAAACTATACCTTAGGTCCAAACTGCCGCTTTTCACGCACACCCCACCCGTTGGGCGATGTCGAGTCTTGCCACCTACCGTTACACACTCGAACCCCTGCTCGTGCTTTTCGGGCAGCGCGCCTTTATCCCTTTAACTTCTAAGACCCCACTTCTTCTCACCTTTTTGATGACATTTGACCCATACCTCACTCACACGTACAACGTGATTCGAGGGTTTATTCACCTTTGCTCACGGTGGTTTCGTTATTTTCGTGAGCCAGTAGAGGCTCACAATTGATTACATCGGCACAGCAACAGAGGATAAAGTGGTCTATACTATGACTTGCGATACGGCCGGATATCGCGCAAGTCAGTGCTGACTGGTACCAGTTAAACGACCCCGGAGGGATTGAAGGCTTGGTTGCCCTCGGCGGGTATTGATTTGGGATTGGAATCCGCTGCCATGCGCGGTGACATTGTGCAACTTGCCACTGCACCACCTCCGCCCTGCGTTCTCAATGACACAAAAATGAAGTTCAAAGATGTAAACTGAGTTTATGGCTTCTTGTAAGTCAAGGAATAATTGCTCTATTGAGATGTTGCTTTCTTAAACACCCAACGATGTTAACGAAAATTCTGAGTGGAATGATATAGCTCCGGACAACCTATCCCTTCATTTGGTTATGACTTCCTTGTGGAATGGCGTAATCCTGGTCAATAAGTTTCTGTGAAGCTCATGGTGCATCGTTGGAGATCCACGTTGGTCCTTCAAAGCTTTATTTACAGTTCCGATCCCGGTGGTATAAACGGTCTTATTCGAATCACATCTTTGAAAATACCTTTTCCATGGAATGAATGTACCAACACAATTTTCCGCTGTGTTGGTTCATTAATTCCATGAAGAGCCATTGACAATAACTGGCGAAAGGCTTCTCAGGTGTCTTGTCTGATCTGTTCGGGACCGGGCGCCGCAGAGTTTCCCATCGACGTTTGAACGTTTGAAACAATGAATGGAAAACTGAAGAACGACATATCCATTCTGCGCAGTGAATTAGCAGGCAAACTTGGCTTGAAATGATCCGAATGAGAATCATAATTGGCCTTAACCAATGCTCTCCGATATGCTGCAACTTGCTCCATCCGTCAAGACGACGATTGGGGTCATCTTGGTCGTGTGATTGGCAGAGCTCCGACGGAACTACCAATCTTGGGACTTCGACTACTAATGTCGCTACGCTGCATAGCTTGCAAAATTGAATATTACATGATTGTTGCCTGTAGCTCGCGTGTTCCACGCTGCTCTATCAGCTCGAATTTTTCCGGCTTCTACTGCGATTTCAATATCTCCGCTTCTGACCCTGCTCTAAGAAGTGAAGTGGTCCCAGTTGATAACAGTGGGAAACTTCGATCTCTTGAGTTCGAGAATCTCTTTCCACGTGTTCCCACACCGACTCTAATGCGAAGGGCTCGATGGACCTAATAAAGTCACGCAACGAAAACCGCAGATAATCACGAAAACCATCTTAGGCATGCTTCAAACAACCCCCATGCCACCTATACCCACCACAGTTGAGCAGGAACATAATAGCACCTGCAGCCGACATACAAATCAAGCATTCAGAAAAAGTTCTGTGAGGGTCGAAAGTTCACAGCAATCACTTGAATAGCCTCCTATGTCACGGGCCATTTTCAGCGACTCTTCACCATTCTCATCCACCGCAAAACTTCGGAGTAGTGCGGAACATGTTCCTGATATTGGCGATGATTCGAAACTTGTACCATTTGAAAAATGTCTACGAATTGAGAAACTGTTGAAGAAACCAAAGATTCAGACCCAGTTGTGTAGTCATCCTCCTTGCGTATAACCTCCATAGGAACTTCCATAATTACAAATCTTCGAATATCGTTTTGAATGTCGGTACACAAAGCCAGCACCCGCTATCTCGCGACGAGGTTCAGGCGTATCTATCTAACACTCCTCAGTCAGTTCCAGGCCCTTGGCCCTAGGAAAGTCTTGACTCGCTGGTCTCTAGCGTACTGACCAGAAGCACGCAGTTCACGAAGGTATTCATTCAGGCCTAGCTGACGGCCTAGTAGGTAGAACGCTGTACTGAGTAACAGTGGTATTTACATTGCCGTAGAGACTCCATTGTATATTAAAAGAATAGAAAGTAGAAGAGCGAAGAATGTCGTAAGAATACTTCAGACGTTCTCATGAGTACGATACTCAAACTTCCGCTGACTGATTTCAATATTGTTACAGCTCCAGTGTAAAATATTCTGTAATCAAATTCAAGTGGAGGCAGTCGTGGTGTAGTGGCAAGCGGTGCACTATCACATACTCATGATCAGGTGATCGAATTCAGGATTGATTCTGCTTTCGATCTTACGGGATTGTTGATTGGCACCAGACTCGACTGCATTGTGAAGGCTAACCTTGCTTTCAAACCCCCATCCTATTTAGGGTGAAAGTCAAATGCGGAGCGTTCACATTTTGTTTGAATTTTACATTTGATCTTTATGTTCATCTTTCTCTCATTTTTTATCAGTTCGAGGGAAATTTGGAAAGCAGATCTCGTTGGCAATCACCTACTTCTGAAAGCCCTTCACTCCGGAAATCGTTTTTGGGATAAAACCTAAGTAAAATTCAGGATAAAGTAGTGTCGTGAATGCTTCATTGTGCTAACTTTAAAACTCAGAAACAAGCTTCTATGTGCTACACGCGTAGCCCAGCTGGAAATACATATCGCTGAAAGGCAAACCACTCCACGTGAGCAGTGCTCACTATTCAAGTGATTGATGGCATATGCTTAGTGAAATTATTGTGAGAATTAAGCGTCATAAAGATCCAACGAATCGAAAACCAGTGACGTTTTTGAGGTCATCGTGAAGGTTACGGTACAGAGGAGGAATGGCTCGAGCAAAATTCCCATAGGACATTCTGAGTATACGTCATCAATCCAGAAATGAATCTAACGAGAAAATAGCTCACAGTCACGAGAAAGCTGAGGCCTTATCCTAGCCTGGCCTCACTTTCCAAAAAGAATTTGGATCAAGACCAAACTGGTAGGTTGCTTATATATGTAGGTTTTGCGTGGTTTTCGAGAAACCACAAAGTTGCTGTGGGTGGTCTGGTTCTAGCCATGCGCGCCTTACTTCTTATAATGAAGCCTATGCACAAAACTCTCAAAAAGCCACAAGAAAACGATTCTTTTCTTTCAATCGTAAAAGTTGCACGAATAGGTCAGACAACTGCCTCGTCGAAATACCCGCAGTACCACCAAAGCACTCGGTGGATCTCGGCATTGAATAATCATTTTTTACTCGTTTATTAATGAATATATAGCATATTCAATTCTTCGTGACTTTTTTAACCTTGGTTGGCATTTTCGAGAGAAATTTCTTGAGTATCGCAGTGAAGGCACCATATGCCATCTTTCGACGCAACCTGGCTCGCGAGCAGTCGAGGACTTCAACAGCTGCACGATGGCATTTGATTAAAGAACAACGTCGCGTTGCATTTTGTGCCAGTTCCCCTTTCGCTTCCATGACACAATGAAAATTTTATGCACCCGTCCACCTACTGAACATCATCTTCTTTTCCTTTTTTTCTCAATACTCAGGTGACCATGCTCCACGTAAAAACGTTTTACAGCTTCTTCAGATAATGCTAAGCTTAGGTCACCTTCAGTTAAAAAGGTTTAGTATGTAGCGTTTCACTTTTGTGAAGGAAAATTAGACAGCTTCTTTCGAATATTATTACCTCTTGCCAAAACTTCTAATTTCCTAACCGGCGACTGATTCAAGGACAATTACTGCCGATTTTGAGTCCCAATATCAATTCCTGGCAGTAAAAAGTATGAAGGTGGTCTTTGCGCACAATGGCATTTCTTATGCTTTATTTTCTTATTCGGCCTACAACGGATTTACCCACTGGTTTAAACACTCAGTGCCTCACGTGATGAATAACGATCCGTTCTCCGAAAATTGCGGTACTGGGAGTCGAAGTAATCGCCCTTGAACATCATCAATTCTGAGGGATTTTTGATTGATTGCGAATATCTCTGTAGACTTTATAGGCGGCAGTTAGAAGTCCTGTGTCAGGAAAACAGAATGAGCTCAAAACCGTGATTCAACATAAGCTTTCATTTTCACGATTTTTTCAGCCTCAAGGGTCCTAATGGTATCGTGGAGAAGGTAGATCGAAATCATTTTATCCATTTTTCTCAGGAAACTTCCGCGAATTTTTGAACGTGGCTGTGATGTTATCGGAGTCCCTGTGTTTGAGGGATGGAGCTCGCAACTGAATTCTCCTGCTGAACTTCGAAAGCTGCCAAGAACACCCTTTTTTGGAGTGGGTGTCCCATTTCGCTTGCGTCGGTGGGCCTTCTCCTAGGAGCCGCATGGAACCGTGTTAGAAAAAAGGAGGTTGTGTACCAAACTCTGAATTTTCCTCTACATCGCCGAGGATAACAATCTTCCACTATACAGGCGTCCCGAGCGAGATTTATTTCCGAACCCCACGTCTCCTTTCTTGAAGCAAGTGAACACGCCGAGCTTCGTTATTGACAAAAGAAGCGGTACCGTTCCAAGTTGTGCTTATGATGTTGGGTTCCTACATCTGTCCGGGTTTCATTATAGCATTGTAGTTATTTTGGTCTCTTTTGCATTGGTGACGGAGCTGAAGTAAGCGGAGCACCTGGAGGATTGAGAAGAACGATTCCTGCTGAGGAATCGGAAGCTTTGGAGCTTCCCAGAAAAAAATAGGCTTTAATAACTCAAGACGTGGAGTGAATGGAACCGGCTCAGTTTTCGCTTTTTTTCTTTTTTTTTTTTCTTTAGTTTATCGCATCCTTTTTTGACGCCGCGTGTTTGCACTATGTGGATCGTTTAGCCTTGGCAATCTTCATCTTTTTTTCAGGGTTAATCTGGTCCTCGCCAATCAGCCGGAGTTTGCTGAAGCCTTCAATTGTGCAGTTGGTACTCCGATGAACCCTAGAGAACGTTGTAGTGTATGGTAACAGAAATCCCTTGAAATTTACTACATCCTACTACATACATATCATTATATAGGATTTGACCGTGCTTTTCCCTACTTACTTGTGCAGCATTCCTTTCCTTGCCACTCAAGCTCAAACAATTCGAAAACTGCTGCTGCTATATCAGTAAGGATGCATGTATGTAAAACCAGTTTCAATTTTTATACTGATGGATTGTGCTTTGGTTTCGGGACGAATTTACATCCATGGATCTGGTTTGCCTCAATCTGGAACATATTGTTATGCTTCACGTGATAAATTTACGTTGCGCTTCAATAAAAAGCAAAGCAATCTATCTCAGCAATTATCACATTCAGACTACCAGGCTAAACCTGATTTCCGATAGGTCACAAAATCCATATGCTCAAAACGGCTGCGCTTCGACGTATGCCAGCAGTTTTTTTTTCCTCCACAGATACAAGGCAGATTTGTAACACTCAGCAGAAAACTTGTGCTGAAAATTGTACTAAATCATAATCGCATAAGAATTATCTAAAAGGGCGATCGGCTATTTGTAAAACGAACAAGTCCAGTGCCACTGTAATGGGTCCGGAATCTTCTCCCCGAAAACGGCGTCGCGCACGCTGCACCCGCCGCGCATCGCAGGATTGCGATGGAAGATTGGAGCGTGCAATTTTGGCTGGCCGCTCTTCAATTCCAATGCCATCTTGATCGTCGCTAATATAGGAGGAGTCATTCTAATTGACCAAGTCTAATAAACATAAAAACGAAAAAGAAACAGGCAAAAACAGGTAAAAGTAAAACGAGCGGTTGTTAGGAATATGTTCCGCACTGCTAAGAAGGTTTGCACGGGAGAGGATGAGCGAAAAGAGTCGCTAAAAATGGCACACGATATAGCTTGGTCGAACGGCTACTACAATTTTTCAACAACGCGTGAAGCTTCTGCTGGCGGTTTGATCCTCAGACATGGTAGTACTCCAATGGAAGGAAAGGTTTCTTTTGTATTACCATTTATTTCTGATGAGGTCAGTGCTTCCATCAGAAAGTGTCTAAAGAGGTCGGGTTTGGAAAATTTAGTTGTTATTGTAAACGTACTACTCTACAATCTAAAGAAGCGCCTAGTTCAGGCCGTACGATCGCCTCTGTACAATCTCAAAGTTTGTGGTCTGTCCGGCTGGAAATGAAGGTGATTGTAAAATATCTGGGGTGGTCTACAAAATTACTTGCCGTGATTGTGGTGATGACTATATTGGCGAGACGGTAAGACCACTCCACGTGAGGGTTGAGGATCACGTAGATGGTATGAGACCATTGAAAGAATCTACTGCCTTAGGTAGTCACCGAATTCGAAAGCATAACGGAGGCGTTTTTGAGCTTACCGTGGAGGTCGTAGCACAGGAGTCAGAATTGTGCGCACACAAAACCCTCGAGGCGTTTTGGATACAAGTCACCGATCCAAAAATGAATCGTAGGGAAGAATGTCTCGCAATCACGCGGGAGCTGCGGCCATACATAAGATTGGCCTTCCCACAGTGACTTTTAATGAAGATTTACCCCAGCTGACACTGGTCGGTTGGTACCATCACTTGCTGGGTGGTTTCAAAGATTCCACGAAGCTGCTGTGAGTGCCTCTCCTTTCGATCACTTGCGTGCCCTGGGGGTTTGAACTTCGGTGAGTTAGTGGAGACGTTTGGTCCAGTAGTCAAAAGTTGTTATGATCCTTTCAGGCTCTGAAGAAGGCGATATCGCCGAAACGTCAGCCTAAGAAAGCTTGTTTACAAACCTCGTGAAGAGTTCAGAATAACAATAAACTCAATAATCAGGGGAGAATATTATATTCTAACGAATGAAGAATGGCTCTGTGGCCTGATCTTCCATATTAGAGCCTCCTCTTTCTCCAGTTTACAAACTCAGCTGTTCTGATCGTGTTATAAACAACTGCACATTTCACAATTCGAGTGATGGGCATCAAGACATCCAGCGGGTAAAAGGCGTGGAGCTCTACTACCACTACTCGAAAGCACAGACCAGAAAAATATTTAGCATTGATTTTGAAATTAAATGCGAAATTCTACCCTATGAAAATGAGATTGCTGTTGCATTGCTTTGCTTCGACAAATGATCGCACTTGAACAGGTAAGTATGCTTGTAGAGCTGAAACCATCGTGTCGCTCGTTTTCAAGGTAGTCGGCTAGCTAGATGGGAATTTTGCACGGGAATATGGGCCTTCTTCTGTCATCGGGAAGATATGCATACTTCGCCCCTACATTGAAACGAAATTCTAAGCACAGGGATGTATTCCACTTTACATGGGCAACTTTCAGCATTCTTTTTCACAAGAAGCAAATCGGATGTTGCTGTCAATCGGAATCTGTAATCGCTTTTTTTCAAAAGTTCGCCAAAGCAGATCGGGCTTACCTGTAACAGAGCGTAGTTGATGTTTCAATTACTGAAGTATTCAAAATGAGAAGACAAAAGTTTTCTATATTTTTCAGGCCGATCCATGCATAAATTTTTTCGAGTTTACTTTTGGGAACTGGATTGTAGCTCTTCCGAATCTGGATCACAAATCAACCTATACACAGTCGGAAGAACTCTCTGACAAAGTTCAAGAACAGATGAAAGGTGACCGCGATTCTCACGTGTCACATGCAACAAGCTTCCGGGATGGAAATAAATTCGGACAATACTACCAGCTGGTAGAGCACTCGCCTCAATAACTCGAAAATTTTTGAGAATTTTGTATCCTTTTCGTGTCTTCTCCTCGAATTCAAAGTGGGGTAACCCAGATGATGACACCGTCGAACTCCGCTCGTTCAGCTCTATGAACAGCGACCCTAAGGCTTTGCAATTGCTCCGTCTCAGATTTCACCATGCACTTGAGTTCCATTCGAAATGTAATTGCATGCACATGGGGCGCATGCTTTGGTTCTTGTAGGAGTCTCGCTATGTTCAGTTAAAGGCTGTTCTACCAAGTGCGTCATCTAATTCGGTCAGCATTTGTGCCGCCTGCTCGATGATCGGTGTCATAACCACGATGTAGCCTGCAAAGCGGAGATAATGTAAAGAGCGGCTGCCAAACTTCATTTCAAGTCTTCCAACAACTCCAAATAAAATGGTGGTATTCCTGAGAGCGGCACTGAAAAACTCATCAGAGATAGTACCGTCCTGCCATTCCATTCTCTTCACGTCGATACGACTTCCGTGTAGAATGGAGAAATCTTGGTCGTGAAGCTCTCGTGGAACTCATGAAGCATCCTTATGCATTGAGCAGGAACACCCAGAGCTTCGATAATCGCTTCTGTATCGACAGTATAAAAGGGCTTCTCCATTTCGATGAAGTGAACACATAATTGCATTTTGTAGTCTCGCAATACTTCAGTGAGTCTTGTAAGAAGCCAGCCATGATTACCGATCCGAACAGAAGTCGTAGATGACCTTCTCCAATGCCCATCGAGATTTTGTTACTGTCCCGTCTGGATGACGAATGGAAGTCATCCTGGTCCTGTAATTAGCGAAGCTCTGTCGAAGCTTTGCGACTGCTTTTTCTAGCATCGGTGGCTTCGTCTATAACTGCGACTCTTCTCTCCTTCAGATATCAGACTTCTGCTTTATCGCTTCTCCGCATACCTTCGCAATTTTGGACGTATGTTGGTGATTGCCTGCATCTTGCACGACCTATGCTGGCGTATCAGCTCAAGATTTTACACTGACCAGTGAGAGTCCCGCTTCGGCCATTTGTAGACTTTCTGTTTTCCTAGCACTATCGTGAAGACATTTCATGAGCTGGTTACATTCTTCATCGATGTTGTCGACAGCAGAATCTTCCCATTTACTCGCAAATGAATAGAGGTGGTTCTAGTTGATGTAGTTCTTGGGGCTCCATTTGAAAAACTTCACAGCTCTTCATCCACGCACTGAGAAGCATGGCCTGGAGGGGATGATGGTTCGATTCTGTGTAGCTTTGGAACAAAAGTGACGACACTCAGGGATGATGTGGTCTATTTCATAGTGGGACTGTTCACCAGTGACTTGTCCTTACAGCCCTTACATAGGCGACGTCCGCGTATGTAAGGGCTTTTGGAGCTGAACGTTTCCTTAGATAGTGTAGGCCGACATGATAAACTCGGTAAGCCTCTAACTAGTTCATTGTTTTCCATTCCGCGGGTCACGATGTGAGGCTCTTCAATCGTTTTCTGGGTTTAACTATGATGTTGAAATTACCAAAGATCTTGAAAGTATGGTTTGCTTTGTTAAGCATCTCCAGATTCATATGGAACTCTTCTTTTTCGTAGCTTGACGCTGGTACCGAGGTAAGAAGTTTGTCAGGACTTGGCTTTAGCCATATCTCTCTCAATCGCAAACGTCCGATTCGAATTGTCAAGCTTCCTCCGAATCGATGTTTATGATCAAGTGTGTGTTGACGAGGACAGCAACGTCGCCGCTGACCTCTATTGTCGCATGTTCTCTTCTATAAAATATTATCAGCATATTCTCTCGAATACAGCGTTCAGGGGCGATGCCTTCTCGTCTCGGTCAGTCCGATGATCTTTCTTATCTTCCTAGCTTGCACCATTAGACCTTCATCACACTGTCTTAGAGGCCTCTTCCGAGCAATCTTACACAGCACTGCGGTAAAGGGAATGAGACTCATTTGTGTTACTGTTTTTGGCATATGGGTACCCAAAAGTAGTAGAGCCATATGGTGTTGGCTCGGTTGACATCAAGTGTTATCAGGCTATCTCAAAAAAAGCGGAGGCTTTGTCTCTGCAGACGGCAACAAATCGTCTCTTGATACTTCCCAGTCACTCGGATGCATGTTTTCGATTGAGTCGATGGGCAAGATACTAATTGTAACCAGAGGCTCTTCACACACGTGTGCTTGGATACACCTGCGCGATACAGGAGGTATAGCTGCCAGCACAGAAGAAACAGGGAGAGTCAAGTTCTAGAAAATAGATGGCCGTTACTTTTTACCGATGAAGTCGGGCAGCTGTCGTCGGCACCACTCGCGGGCAAGC